TCTCTCAGCTTCTCCTCGTTTTGAGGATACCCCAGTCCTGTCAGTGTCATGGTCTCCTTCCACTGCTCTTTGTCAAACATGTCCACATCCTTCTTCCACTCTGGAGCCTCTACTGTGGTGGGGCACAGGAGGGTCAAGTCTCACAGCCTGCTTGGATTTCTTCTCCTACGTTACATGTCCTGGTAACTGCTGGAGTTTTTTATTCCAAAGACTACATGTGCCCCTCGCTATGCATTTAACCTCCAGCAGGACTACAAGCACCTTCACTTCTCGAATGCTTTGGTTGCCAAGGGAATGGCAACTGGTGTCATGTGCCTGGACTACTGTCAGGGCTGTAGCACAGACCCAGGACACCCTTGTCTCTAAACTGCAGACACTTGGGTTTGATGGGTGGACTAATGAATGCATGAAGCTGTGTGATCGAGACCACCCCTAGCATGTTTGCAGGTGCCAGGATGTTGAGCAGTGCTGTTCACACAAGAACATGAAGGGGTCCCATCAGGAGGGGACTCTGGAAATGTTGAGAATGTAACAACCTCTTCTGGTTCAACAAATCCAAGTTCAAGGTCGTGCACCTGCATTGGGGCAGTCCCAAACGTGAGAACAGCTTGGGAGAGGAACTCCCAGAGAGCAATTCCACAGAGAAGGACTGAAGTGAACCAAAATCTTGACAGGAAAAGAGCAATGTAAAATTTCAGCCTAGAAAGAGAACCGTAACCTAGATTGCATAGAAACAGCAGTGACCAGCAGAAATGTCTGGGGGTCACTTGAAGAAGGAGACAACACCCATATTCCTGTGGGCTTTGTTTTCATCTTCTACATTCCTGAGACAAAACAACATGAAACCATTGGCCTGTATTGCTGCCATTAAAAAGCTGCCGCCATGATAAGTTGTACATGGACTCTAGGAGACGACATGGAATCACAGAACATCAGGAAGAAAAACACTCCACACCTCATGATTCACCAGGCAGGGCCAGCCAAGAACTGCTGCCACCAAATTGCCCCAAGGCCATGGGACAAGGCTGTGCCGCCCCTCCAGGACAGCATAAAAGCTGGCCCAGAGCCTCTCTCCATCACACACTTCTCCTGGATCCATCTCCTCCTGCTCCAGCTGACAAGGTGAGCCTCAAGTCCTTTCACGTCCCACTCTTGCACCCCTAGTCCCTCTCTTCCAACATGCTCAGACCCAGCCTCAGCAGCCGTCACCCATCCCCAAAGCACCACAACAGCTTCCACACTCCCTCACCCTCCTCCATCATAATCCCTCACGCCCCCACACCAACACAACCCTGCCATGCCTCAACCCTCTCTCTTCCAGGGACCCTCCACACCACACCCATGGCCTGCAACAACCTCTGCCAACCCTGTGGACCCAGCCCGCTGGCCAACAGCTGCAACGAGCCCTGTGCCCTGCAATGCCAGGACTCCCGTGTCATCATCAACCCTTCCCCTGTGCTGGTCACCCTGCCTGGACCCATCATGACCTCCTTCCCCCAGAGCACCGCTGTTGGATCCACCTCCTCGGCTGCTGTGGGCACTGAACTCAGTGTTCAGGGACAGCCCATCTCTGGTGGATTTGGTG